GCATAGCTAAGAGACTTTGGTGCACTGCATACTCAAAGGTTGGGTGGTACTGAAAAGCCTTAGGCTGAGCTTATGCTGAACCTTCAAGAAGTCTCCAAGTTAAAGGGAAGAGGTGGCGAGGTTATGGAAGTTATTTGGAAAAAAGAAAACCTGAAAGTTCACGGAATTCTCTTGCTAGAACTTTAAAATGTATTTCTCACTATCTGAATTAGTTTTCTAGAACAGAAATCTAATCCACTACTTTAAATATTTCAGTAGTTCCCATTTCCTTCAGCAGAATGTTGAAATTTTAAATACTTTCCTTGGGAGGAGAAATGGTACACTAGACTCAGAAGTCACCCTCTAGAATTTTGAAGCTATTGACCACAAATCAGATTTTTTTTTAACCTTTTTTGTTTTTGACAAGGTGATAGGAGGACATAGAAATTTGAAAGGAAATGGAAATACATCCAGTTTTGTTTTTGGCATAGAAGAGTTTTATGGATAATTTGGCTTATTAATAAAAATAATACTTTATTTGGTACTTATTATTTTCAAGTAGATTTTCCATCATGGACTACATGCAAAGACTTTGTGTTAAGTGTAAGACAACAGTAAAGCGAACTGCCTCCTGTTCGTTCTCCTGCCTGATGGTGATGTGTATAGATTTTGGGAGGCTGAAGGAGGGTTGTGCAATATGGCCTAGGGAAGAAAAATCGTTCTAAGGACTTCTTTGCAACCATCCCAAGTCTTTGGGTGTGTGTGTCTTCTATGGTGAAAACCAGCTGTGTAGTCTGAGAATGCATTGTGATGTGTCACGGGGGGTGACAGAGAAACATAAGGGGAGAAGGGCAAGAGTTGTGCGGGCAGTGACCCCAGGCTAGTGCATTTTTACTCAACTGTTCTGCCTCCTGTTTATCCCCAAAAATGTCCCAGAAAAGCACATCACAGGATAGAGTCTTCATTCTGAGTTTTATTAATTTAAAGGAGTTCCCAGAAGCAGTCTTGCTGTAATTACTGTATACACAGCAAACAGTTTAGCCTTCATCCTAGGCACAGGATTTTTTTTTAATGATTTCTTTTAACTCACTAGACTAAGATTAACTTCCTAGGTGAAAAAATTCAGATTGATGTGACAAGTGTTTTCAGCCCACCCCTCCCCCACTTGAGATTTTAGGTGTTGAAGAATCTCTCATCTCAGTTCATCTTTCATCCCTCATTCATTCATTCACTAGTTTATGTCACAGATATTTACTAAACACTTGCTATGTGCCAGCTTCTGGGTCAGGCACTAGGGATAATGAGGTTAACACCTTTTAGTCATTAAACAAGCTGGACCAGTCACCATCCCAAATATGTTTTTGTTTTTTTAAATATTTTTTCCGTATTGATTTTAGAGAGAGAGAGAGGAGGGGAGAGGGAGAGATAGAAACATCAATGAGAGAGAACATTGATTAGCCATCTCCTGCATGCCTCACACTGGGGATCGGGCCCACAACCCAGGCATGTGTCCTGACCAGGAATCGAACTGGCGACTTCCTGGTGCATGGGTCAACGCTCAACCACTGAGCCACACCAGCTGGGCCCAAATATGTTTTATGATGGTTCACAGCCTAGATGGTTTTACAATTTCCTTTGCTTAGTAAGCTTTCCTGTCCTCCAAAGTGTAACTGAAATGCAATGCACTTCCCAAGGAAAGAGTTCTTCGTCACCCCAGACAAAAGTATCACCTCATTTCTGCAGCTCTTTGTTTTCCACTTCCTTGTTAAATAAGCAACCGTTGAAAATAGAAAAATTCTCATCTCCATTTTGTAGCTGAAGAAATATTCTCAGAGAAGATAGATTCTTCTGACCCAGACAGTGGTGACAGAGTGAGGTTTGAACCCAGGCTGTGGCTGGGTAGCCTGTGTCCCCGGGAGACAGAGGTGCTGATTCTTCCAGAACCGGCTTTTCCACGTGCTGTACGACATTGAGCAACTCTTAAGATTTCCAAGCCCTCATCTGTAAAATGGTAATGTGCTTCTTTTTGCTTCAAGTGAGATATAAATGTGAAAGTGCTCCCAAGCTGGCTTCCCGCAACATCACACAAAGAACGTTCTGTCAGGACCAGATGTTATGTGTAGCTGCAAGCATGGCATAGGCAGTTTTGTTCTCTGTGTGAAACCTGTCAACCGAGGTAGGTGCATGTGGTTCCTTATACTGGTCTTCCTACATTAGTTTGTTCCAGAAAATTTCCACAAAAAGGAAATTTATAAAAAAGGCTTCAGCTTATGAAGTGCCATGTGATTACAAGTGGGTATAACTGTCATAACTGTTTCTATATTTGTCTTTCTTAGCTACTAGATGTTTATTTTCCTGAAGGCAGGAAGTGCCTTAGTCCTTGCTCTGCCTCCCAGTGATGACATGGAGATTGTGTGAGTGCTGAGGCAACTTCAGTTCTTGAAAAGCGATGCTTTTAGGCCCAGATCATAGGATCAGCTTCCAGACAGGAGCCACTTAGAAGGGTGCCCTTCTGGTGTTTCAGTAACTAAATCCTGATGGCTGAGGGTGACAGTGCATTTGCTACAGATTAAATTTCTCTCTTAAGATAAAATGGTGTTACAATGTGGTTTTCGTGAAATGCCGGAGAACATTGTATATGTATTTTTAAATTAATTTTTTAATATTAATGTGTGCACACGGTACAGAATTTACCATGGTACAGAGACAGTAGGATCCCAGTCTCTGGGGCCACCTTCCAGAGGTAGTCTGTATTGATATGACCATATGGATCTCTGGTCCACACAGTTTTGCATATTGCTTTTTTTGTCATCTGTGTAGCTTGGTACCCTATCAGAATTGGCAGAGCTGCTTCCTCAATCTGTATATCAGTATATTCTTACTGATGAGCTTTTAGATTGTGATAGCAAAAATTTAGAAAAAACATTGGCAATCAGTATCTTTCTAGATTCCTCACATGTACATATGTATGTATGTCTGTGCAATTAAGTTCTTGGGTGTGGAATCACTGAGTCAGAAAGACATGTGCATTTAAAAACTTTTTGTTATTGTTAATCCTCACCCAGGGATATTTTTCTATTGATTTTTAGATAGAGAGGGAGGGAGGGAGGGAGGGAGGGAGGGAGGGAGGGAGGGAGGGAGGGAGGGAGGGAGGAAGGAAGGAAGGAAGGAAGGAAGGAAGGAAGGAAGGAAGGAAGGAAGGAGAGAGAGAGAGAAACATTGATCTGAGAGAAACACATGGCCTGGTTGCCTCCCGAATGCCCCTGATGAGGGCCAGGGATTGAACCTGCAACCCAGGCATGTGCCCTTACTGGGAATTGGACCCGTGACCCTTTGACCTTCAGGCCAATGCTCTAACCACTGAACAAAACTGGCCAGGGCCAAAAATAATTTTGGTAGTCATTGCCCTCCACACCAGATTGTAATAATTCATTACCCCACATTGTGTAAGAGTGCATATTTGTGCTCAGTCTTGTCAGTGTAGTATATTAAGCAAGTTTATCTTTGGTGTGGCTTTTCATATGTCTAAAATCCACTTATTGGAGAGAAACTGTGTACAGCCTTTTTGGGGGAGTAATGAAAATGTTATGTAATTAGTGATGGTTTCACAACCCTTGTGAATATATTAAAAACCACTGGATCATAACCTTTGAAAGGGTGAATTTAATGGTGTGTGAATTATATCTTGCTAAAGCTGCTATTTAAAAATCTAAAACCCATTTGTGTTTCCCTTTCTGCATACTGACTTCATTTTCCTTGTTTTTCTGTTGTTTTAGTTCTTATAGGAAATTAGTTTTTTGCTTTTGTTATGTTACATGTATTTTTCTCCAGTTGGCCATTTGCTCTTTGCTCCTGATTCCTTGATTTTGCCCTTTAGCCATGTAGAAAATTTTCATTTTTATATGGTTGGTCAAATCCTGTTTTGTTTTGTTTTTCCTTTTGTTTTTTAAAGAAACTTTGAGGTGGGTTTTCATACTCGGAAAGGTTTTTCTTCAGTGTTATGTATTTTTAAATACCCATGTTTCTTCTGGCTCTTTTACTTTTTAAATATAGTTAAATCTTTCATTCTAAATCTTTAGAATTTATTTTGGTGTAAGTTGTGAGGAAGGGATAATAGCTTTTTTCCCCTCAGATGATACCCAATTACCCCCACATTTTTTTTTTTTAATTATACATTTTAACCCATTGATTTGCAATTTCACTTTTATCATTTCCTAAATTCTTTTATGTTTTGGGGTCTAAATTCTGGACTTTTTATTCTGCCCCATTCTTGTCATCTTCATATGTTATCATGCTGTTTTAATTACTTTAAATATAAAGGCTAGTAAAGCACTTTTTTAAAAGATTTGCCTGATCATTCTTGATTATTTTTCCCTTAAGTAAACTTTAGATGTGGCATTTTTAAAGTTTTTGAAATCCTATTGACATTTATGGTTATTGCATTAACTTATAGAGATACTAATGAAATCGATTATTTTACTCCTTCTTTGCTGCCCCCTCCCCCTGCGTATTGTCTGCCGGCGCCTTCAGAGCAATGTTAAGTGATGGTGATCGTAGTGGGAGTCGTCGGCTCGCCGCCTCCAGCGCAGTGCGCCAGCTTCGCCAGTCAGTAGTAACATTCATGAATGAAAGTGGGCTGTGTGGTTCTTTTGCTTGTTTTTTATCATGTTTGGTTTTATTATCTTAGAAATCATTTGAAAACGTATTTTTTAAATCTGCTGTAGAACTATTTAAATGTCATTGATATTGCTCGTCCTTAAAAGGTTGTAGAAACTCACCTGTGAAACTGAGTGGGGTTCTTGCTTTTGGGGACGTGGTTCTTAGTGATTTATTCTACTTCTCATGTAAACAGTCTGTTTTACACTCTTTTAGGACAACTACTATGTTTTTCTTAAAAATTACCCTTTTTATCAAAGTTTTTGGATGTATGTGTATGGACAAGCCACAGTACTCTTATGTTTCTCTTAATTTTATATCTTATTTTGCATTCTTAGTATTGATTTCTTTGTCCTTTTTTGCAGGAACAGGAAATATAGTTGTCATTATGGTTAGCTACTCAAAAGGAAAAGAAATTTTGGATCTGGTGCAAAAAGAAATTCAAGTCAAAATGACCATAGGGGTTGGCACTCGTCATGTACAGGAGATCATCAGTGGTCAGTCTGTGGTGTTTGTGGCCATCGCCTTCATCACTATGATGATCATCTCATTAGCGTGGCTAATATTTTACTATATACAGCGTTTCTTATATACTGGCTCACAGTTTGGAAGTCAGGTAATTATGGATAACTTTTTAACTTTGCTTTTTAAAAGATAGTTCATAAATGTTATATATACATATATATATATATATTTATACACATACATATACACACATATATATATTGCTTGAAGTTGCATTGGACCCCAGTCTTAATTTCATTTTCACTCATAATAGTTAAGTATTAATATGATTTTTCTGAAAATAATTTTTAAATTAGAATATATGAAATTTTCTGTTCTGTGGGAAATTAGGTATCTTTTTAAATCTAGATAACTTTTTGCATGTTTTGCTCCTGAAATACCCTCTTTGTCCTTTTCCAGACATAAAGGAATAACAAAAAGACATGAGGTAGAGGGGACCTGGTTCTGTTTAAAAAGAGAACTCTGGGCCCTCAGGTGAGCAGAGTGGGAGGGGCTTCCCTGTCTCCATCGTGGAGCAACTTTCAGAGCTACTTACCTGCAGAGAAACACGGTCTCAGTACAGCAAAGAGGGGACAGCTGAAGAGCCAGAGGCTTCCAATTCATGATTTCACACTTATCTCTGTTGTCGTGAAAAATCACCGTTCCTGACTTTGTAGGCCTGGTACTTTCTGAGTCATCCACCTGAGGCCTAGGAAGCCTCTTTCCTTTTAGGGAAGTTAATAGGTGGTAGCCCATCCTTAGCTTACTACTTTCTTGCCAATATTAAACATACGAATTGAAATTGGGGTTCTTGTTTTGGCATAGAATCAAAAATAGTGTTATTTTTCCCCCCAATTACAGTTTACATTTAGTATTATTTTGTAGTGGTTAGATAATAATATACCTTACAGAGGGCTCCCCCCAGTATTTCTAGCACCCACTTGGCACCATACATAGTTATTACAATATTATTGACTATATTTCCTGTGCTGTACTTTATTCTGTAACTAGCAGTCTGTACTTCTCAATCCTTTCACCATTTTCACCCATCCCCCAACTCCCTCCCGTCTGCAGCCATCAGTCTGTTCTCTGTATCTACGAATCTGTTTCTGTTTTGTTTAATCATTTATATTGTTCTTTAGATCCCACACAAAATCATGTGGTATTTGTCTTTCTTTGACTCATTTGTGACAGCATGGATGGACCCTAGGGGGTATTATGTTAAGTGGAAATAAGTATTCTTGATCAGATAGATCTTAAGTTATATGTATTTACTCTATACATTAAGACAAATGGTAATTTTTAGAGTTATTTTTTTATTGTCATTTAACTTTAATTTTTAAATGAATTTTTCTATAAGCTTTCTTATATTTTATAAATTTTTAAATTAGTGATATAAAATTTTCAGTAATAATTTTTTTATCTTACCTAAGAACCATAGGAAAGAAACCAAGAAAGTTATAGGCCAGCTTCCGCTTCATACTATAAAGCATGGAGAAAAGGTAATGTTTTTGTGCTTTGTGTTTTTTGTTTTGTTTTTGGTTTAGACTAGACTAGACTAGATGTCTGTCTGTATATCTAAGTAATACTTTCCAATCTACTAAAGTCATAGTATCGAACATCCGAAATTTTAACTAGTTGAGCCAGTACTAATTCATTTTACATGTGTTCATTTCAGAGCAGGGTTGTCAGAACTAATTCTGTTGCATCTAGGATGAGCCTTTCAGACCAGTGGGAGCCACTAGCCAAACACAGCTACTTGCCTTTAAGTTAAATTTGAATTAAATTACACTTAACGTTCAGTTCTTCCATCACACTAGCTACACTCAGATGCTCAAATTAGCCACTTGACTGGTTGCTACCATCCTGGACAATTCCAATACATCCTTACAGAGAAAATTTCTACTTGTTGGTCAGACTCAGATGACTCTGAAGAAGATAAAGAAGTTAAACTCTCTACCACAGACCCTTGAACACGGCCAAACAGAGACTCAACAGGCCCAAATCATGTCAGAGTTGAACCATTTTTAGAAGAGGATGGATCCTGAGTCTAGAACACCACACTTTAGAGGGAAAATTCCTTAAAACAGTTGCTAACACAGTGGTGTTTATTCTTTTATAGTCCATCTTTTGTGCCGTGAAATGTTGATAACTGTGTTGACATAGCTGTAGGTCTGTTCAGTTGTTTTGATTTTCATTTTATCTCACTAAGTTGAGACTTAATCTATTTCAAAGAATAACTGCACTTGTGGTATTTGTCTCTTCTTCTGACCTACTTAAAGAATCAAAACAGAAATAACACATTAAGTTATAGACCTTTGATTTGACAACTTTAGAATCTGGTATGGTTTATGCGATGTCTTTAATATTAAGATATTCTTGTGTTGTTTGTTGGCTGCTATTCCTTCCCGAAAGCCTTCACATTGTAGTAACAATTGAGTTTTAAGAGTTTGTACAAGGTTTCCTGCTGTGCAGATGTACTGAACAGAAAAAGTTTTTTAAGTTTCCCATCTTAAAGGTTACGGTTATCATCCAATTTACACAACAAGGTTCCTTGTGACAAATGCCTGTGACAAACTGCATGCATTTGGTGTAGCCAGTGATTGACAAGCATGTAGTATATTCCTCTTGGAATAGGTCTACTCTCCATAGCAGGAATTCTCAGTCTCTTAAATGAGAAGACATAGATTTATATGTATAATTTACTGAGTTGTTTTTGAGAATGTAAGTAAATTGATACTATCCTCTTTCTGTACAGAACATTTTAGAAAATACTCTTCCATGGACTGTTTTTTAAAAGTTGTCTAAATAATGGTTTAGAAAAGAGGATCCATAAGTGGCCCATGATTTTCTGATGATTTTATGTTTTAAATTTGTATGCAAAAATATTGTTTTAAATTGATATCTATATATATTATATATAGATATCTATATATATAGATTGTAGACAGGAAGGGGGAAAGAGAAGAGAGAGAGAGAAGCATTGGTTTGTTGTTCCACTTATGCTTTTGTTGGTTGATTTTTTTTTTTTAATACGTTTTTATTGATTTCAGAGGGAAAGGAAGGGAGAGAGATAGAAACATTGATGAAAGAGAAACATAGATGGGCTGCCTCCTGCACACCCCCTACTGGGGATCCAGCCTGCAACCCACGCATGTGCCCTGACCAAGAATGGAACTGGTGACCTCTCAGTCCCTAGGAATGATGCTCAATCCACTAAGCCACACCGGCGGAACCATTGTTGATTTTTGTATGTGCCCTGACCGGGGATCAAACCTGCAACCTTGGTGTATTGAGACGATGCTTTAACCACAGAACTATCCAGCAAGGGTCTTCTTAAATCTACATATTGTCCAGTCATGGAGACTAGTGTTTGTTTTCTAATTTTTCTTTTCTTGAGGACTCATTCACAGGAATGTATAAGTCTTTAAATCATTAGGGACTTTAAAAGTGATTCCATCACTTACATGGCATATGATAAATAGTAAGTGATAATATTTACTTTAGTTGTAACATATAATTTTAAATGTTGTTATAAAGTTCATATTAATACCATCTTTGATGACCATATCTACATATAAAATCAATTTTTATTACTTGCTTGTTAACAAGTGATACACATGGCTAAATATATTTTAAAATAATTATGGTGTAGCCAAATTCCATAAAATTAACTTGCTAAAATTGTAGCCACCTGGCACTGATTGGTGATTCCTGAATCCTCATCCCAGAATCTTGGAAATAAGAGCCTTGTTAGTCTTTCTGGGTCAGGTGATCACTCAGGCACCACCTGTTTTGATTGCTGAGCTAGGCCAGGTGGGTAGATCCCGAGGGTGCCCAGGACAGTGTGGGGCTGAGGTTGGCCCATAGGTTCTTAGAAGTGGGAGTTTTGTCAAAGACTGCTTCCTCCTTTGCAATTTGTTACTTTTTATCTTTGTTAATTTGATAGGTGAAAAAATGGTAACTTATTTTAATTTGCAATTCTTTTTTTTTTTTTAATCCTCACCCGAGGATATTTTTCCATTTTTTGCACAGATAGCGTGGGAGGGAGAGAGAGAGAAACATCGATGTGAAGGGACACATCGAGTGGCTGCCACCCGCACGACCACCAGGGCCGGGACAAACTGCAACCGAAGTACGTGCCCTTAGCGGGAACCGAACCCAGGTCTCTCCGGACCGCAGGCCGACGCTCTAACCGCTGAGCCAAACCGGCCAGGGCTTAATTTGCAATTCTTTTATCTCTAGTGAGGTGAATATTTTCAGATATTTAGCCATTTGCATTTCCTCCTTTGCAAGTTGTAACTACTTTAGCAAATTCTCATGAACATGCTCTAGTTTTTCTTTTTAATGATTCCAGAAAACAAGCAGCTTATTGGATATTCTTTCTCTTTATGAATTTTATATTTGAAAAATAATTACTTTGATCATAGTAAAGCAGGCATTTGCATTTCTAAAGCTCTTAAAACGTGAATATTTTATGCCCAGCTGGTGTGGCTAAGTGGACTAAGCATCGTCCATCCCATGGACTGAGAGGTCCTAGTTTGATTCCTGATCAGGGCACAATGCCTGGTTGTGGGCTTGATCTTCAGTAGGGGGCGTGCAAGAGGCAGCTGATCAATGTTTCTCTCTCTCTCTCAAAATCAATAAAAACATTAAAAAAAAAAACATGAACACTAGCCTCATATATAAATGCTGTTCATGTCTAATTGGGTAGACAATGAAATTTTTTTCTTTTCATCCAAATTCTTTAAATATCCTCTTGATAGTAATAAAAAGTAAATACAAGTAGAAATGATATGGTTAGTTTCAGGTTGTACCCAAGGGGACTGGAATTCATCACTGTTTTACCCAGGGTGCAGTGAGTTTTTCCAAGGATGTGCTATACACCGAAGTTAGTAAACTTTACTCTTCTTTTTACAGGGAATCGACGTTGATGCTGAGAATTGTGCAGTGTGTATTGAAAATTTTAAAGTGAAGGATATTATCAGAATTCTTCCATGCAAGTATGTTCTTCTTACCTTCTACGATGTTAAAAATTACTTGATAGGCTTCAGATTTCCAGCAAGAGTTTTGTGTGTTTATGACGTGGAGATCTTGCTGTTGTGATGATCTCATGATCATCTCCTTTAGAAAAGACGTTTCCAGTCTTCAAGACTCCTGTGTTGTATAGCTTTCAAATTGCTTTGGTTAGGAGACTGTAGGTGAGATCTAGTGAGACCCATAATGTATCTTTGTCATTGGTTGACTTTTTAAAAGTGTGCTATGTAAGGAGCAAGGAAACTGAACATGACAGGTCGAGGTCCTGGTCGAGGGCTAGAGTAGAGTGGAGGAAAGTAGGTGGGGAGAGCATCAGTTTGCTCTCATTTCACCCTGGGTTTGGGTCCTAGGGGTTGCATAAAATAAACATTCCTCTCCTTACTGTAGATACATTAGGGGCTTGGATTTTTTTTCAGCAACAGAGTTATTTTTCCTTTTAATAATGGAATAGTTTGATAACTTTTTAAAAACATTGCTTTGTTAGCAGAAGGTTGTACAAACTTTATTTTTTTTTATCCTCACCCGAGGACATTTTTCCATTTTTTGTTCAGGTAGAGTGGGAGGGAGAGAGAGAAACATCGATTTGAAAGGGACACATCGAATGGCTGCCTCCCACAAGACTCAACCAGGGCCGGGGACAAACTGCAACCGGGGTACATGCTCTTAGCGGGAACCAAACCCGGGTCTCTCTAGACCGCAGGCCAATGCTCTAACCGCTGAGCCAAACCATCCAAGGCCAAACTTTATAATATGTTTAAGTCTGATCAGTTTTAATTATACTTCACAGCTATTAGAAGCAAGTCACGAGTTAATACAGGATTGGACAAAAGTAGGTTTATGGCTGTGAGTACATGAAACAGTTTATTCTTGTATTATTATTTATTAATTATTGTATTTTCCATGTGAACAACTGTAACCCACCCTACTTTTGCCTCACCATGTATATAATTATGTTTGCAAAGTATTTTAATACATATGCAAGTACTTTATAGTAGATTAAGTTCTCAATAATTGTAGAGGAAATGAATAAATACCAGAATAACAAAATAAAAGTTTCCTGAATAAAGATATATAACTTAAAGCTATAGGCCTTTATAGGGGGCTGGGGTGGTAGGTACTTAATGAATTGAGGTCAGTGTTATAGATTGAACATGTCTTGTAGAAAATTATTAAAATAGGAAAGTATTTTTACTCTAGGCTGGTTTAGGACAAGTCTTTCTGACTTAAAAATAAATATCTAGGATGCTTCACAGGGGAGCAACCTGAGGCTCCTTCCCGGTGTTGTGTAGCACCAGGTATGTCCTGGCATCTGAGCCGGATCTTGTACCTGACTCTCCTACGTAAACACATGACATTTCCTGGTCTCTTTCTTAGGGGCTTTGATGGTTTTCCTCCATTTTCTCCTGTGCTTTTATTTAATGAATTTTCCAGTAAGGCCATTGTATTTCTTTTATATTTTTGTAAAAATGATTCCTTTGGCCCTGGCCAGTTTTGCTTAGTGGTTTGAGCGTCGGCCTGTGGTCCAGAGAGACCCGGGTTCGGTTCCTGCTAAGGGCACGTACCTCGGTTGCAGTTTGTCCCCAGCCCTGGTTGGGTCGTGTGGGTGGCAGCCACTTGATGTGTCCCTTTCACGTCGATGTTTCTCTCTCTCTCTCTCTCTTTCTCTCTCTCCCTCCAGCTCTGTCTGAACAAAAAATGAAAAAAATGTCCTCGGGTGAGGATAAAAAAAAAAATGATTCCTTCGGGTGAGTCAGTTTCAGTTTGAAGATGGAAAAGTCAAAAGAGAAGCTGGACTTGATTGTATTACATGATCAATACTGTTATTTTTAGCCACGCCAGCAGATCTGTGTGATGAGTAGTGAACTCTTCCTGTGCCCGGCACTGTTGTGAGCTGCGACTCACCTGCTCCTCAGCAGAGCCTGCGGACAGCTGCAGAGCTGGCTGAGTCGCAGCAGCGAGTCACACAGCTGCATCTGAGCCAGTCTGCTCCAGCGCCGCACTCTTAGCTCCTTTATCAAATGAGACCCAACTAAGGCAAATCAGTAAAAGAAGAAAATACACATGCAGTTTATTTTATTCTGAAAGTGATGTGTTTGTTACAGAAAAATGTGACAGAAGATATCTTTTTTTAAGCCTGCAGCCCAAAGATGATTTGGTAATATTTTGCTCTATTTCCATTGGAGTCATTTTATAGGCAGATATAAGATGCTGTCAGTTTAGTATCCTTTGTTACTGTTAGTTTACTGTTGGTTTACTTGTGCCACATATGTTCCCAAAGGGCTTTAAACACGTAAAGTACAGCCTAGCATGAGGCCAGAGTAAGCCATGCTGGTTTTGTGGAGTGAAGGGGAAATTTCCCTGTAAGATTCTGTTTAACGTGGAAAATAGAATAGATAAGAACTTAGGGTAAGTGAATAGACTAGAGTATTGATTGGATGTTATTTAATTTAATGAGAAGATAAATTGGTAGCATGTTTTGTTTCCTTGATAAGATATAAACATTGATTGTAAAACATTAACACAACTTAATTTTTTTAGGCATATTTTTCATAGAATGTGCATTGACCCATGGCTTTTGGATCACCGCACGTGTCCCATGTGTAAACTTGATGTCATCAAAGCCCTGGGATACTGGGTTTGTTGCATTTTTGTTTATATTTAATCTTTGCCCCGGTTCTTCCTGAAGGATGTGATGTCATTATTGACCAGAGGCAGGAGGGATGCTCTAAGTACTTCTCTGAAGAAACTTTCATCTTCCTTAAAAATTCCAAAAAAGTGAATGACCTAAATTTGTGATTATAGAATCATGCACTCAGTGTCTCCTCATAGAGTTTGTAATTACTTAGAGCGGTACATTTGGTATAATACATTGTGGGATGCGTATGTGCGGGTCAGTCTCTCTGAACAAGAATTATGCAATGTTCTCAGTGGAAGGAGCCTCGACAGTGTCTGGCCCAAGGCGCGCACCCTGCCCGTGAGGGAGCCACAGCCAGCACTCCCTGACACCGCTTCCCTGGGGTCCTGGCGTCAGTCAGACACTGTGGGATGTGCCCTGCATCGAATTGCTGTCAGTTTGATCCTAGGTGGTCATAGGACCTTCCTCAGACAGACATTAGCGTGAAGTGAGAGAAGCCGCACACACTGCTAATTTGCCCCCTCCTCACCCTTTGTGAGGTAATTGCTCACTGTCTCTATTTTGCTAATTAGAAGCTCAAATTTAAGAGATGCTAAGTAGCTCACCCAAGGTCACAGATCGTTAATGGGGAGTCAGCCTTCACAAACAAGTTTGCTTAAATTCCAGGGTCCAAGCTCTAAACTACTGTCATACTCAAAAGGGGGCAAGGGCAAATAGAGGGAAGAAAACAGATTTTTTTGGATTGCCCTATTTTTTACTGTTTTTAGAGTCTCTAATCAAATCAGTGTCTCCAAATAGTCTTGATTAAATAGTAAGTACTTTTGGAATAAAGATCTTTGAAATAAGTAATGTAAATATAAAATATATTTTTCTTCTTGCTGAATATATTTTCAGAGTTTCTTGTAGCATTTATTGTACAGTTAGAAAACTACAGAGGGGTGATTTATTTTTTTTGGAATCATTTTATGCTACTTTTTTTTTTTATCCTCACCCAAGGACATTTTTCCATTTTTTATTCAGATAGAATGGGAAGGAGAGAGAGAGAGAGAGAGAGAAGAAACATCGATGTGAAAGGTACACACCAAGTGGCTGCCTCCCGCACAACCCACGCAGGGCCAGGGACAAACTGCAACCGAGGTACGCGCCCTTAGCAGGAACCAAACCCGGGTCTCTCTGCACCACAGGCCGACGCTCTAACCGCTGAGCCAAACTGGCCAGGGCCATTTTATGCTACTTAAAGTCATAATGGCCCGTAGGGCTTCAGGTCTCCTTGAAGTGTTCTCTTATCTTATAGCTTAGCATATCTGCAAAAGATAGATAAGAGGCCACTACCTTAATAACCAGCATAACTTTCTATGAACTACAGTTTTTGAGTGTAAGTTCTAGAATGCCCTCACCATAGGTGCACAGAAAGGGGGAGATCAGCACTCAAGAACCGTCTTACTGAAATCTCATTTGATATCTAGAAAATGTATCTTTTCTCTAGAATTTCTAACATTCATTTATTCATAGTTTTTAGTAACAATGGCTCTGCCTAGCATGTCATAACGTGCTCTCTTAGTGAACAGGGCTCACTCCCTGTCTGCGCGGCGAGAGGCCACGCCCCCTGGGACAGGTGTGCGCAGCAGAGCCCCAGCAGTCATCCTCCCCTTTCCTTCCTTAGCTACACTCCCCAGTCCTTTTCAGTAACTTACGTCATGAGTCAGTACTTCTAACCTGCTTTGCATTTCTAAAAATATGTAAAGAAGGAATTTCACTGACAGTTAGTGTTGAGACTTTTTCTCATGAGTTTTGTTTTTGGAAATATAATTCATATGTTAAAAATCAAGATTCTTCATTTAACATAAGGTTGGATTGCTTCCTTAGAATGTTAATTCAGAAAGCGAGAATATGTATACCCAGAAAGTTTAATTTTTTTTTGAAGAACAGAAACCTGTAGTAACTTGAAACCAAACTAGGTCATTAATTTGTCTTGCCTTTATAATTTTTAAAAATATTTTGACAAGTATGCCATTTCCTTTAGATTATTGGCCCATCCTGTGTTGAATTTTGTAGGTAGTCATGACACACTCTAGTGCAGTAGCTGTAAGCAGTGTAACTGGTTCTCGTTTCCAAGAAAGGCCCCCAGCAAGGAGAGCTGCTGCCCTCACACAGGTCGGAGGTCCTGGGCTCGCAGCTACAGCCGCCGCTGCTCTCATGAACCTGGCAGGCATCCGGCCGAGGCACGCCGTCTGAGGTGCTGCGCTGAGCTGGGCTCTGGGGAGACACAGCCCTTGCACTCGGCTCTTGGGTTTGTGGGGGCTGATAGGTCCAGGGCATTCACCCAGACACAGCTTGGCGAAGAGGCCGCAGGAGCACAGGGAAGGAGGGCTCACTCTGCCAAGTGCATGTGGGAAGGACAAGGGAGTGTTTCTTTCAGGGTGCATCTGAGCTGGGTGTTAAAAGATTTGTCTGACAGATGAGCCTATTTCAGTGGTGCAAACATGTGGGGTTTGAGACTGGCAGGTAGGTAGTTAAGTTTGGTAGGTATTGAGAGAAATACCTGGAAAAAACGGTTAGAGTGGACTGAGCAAGTTTGGACATAACAACTTAACAGGATTTGGTGTGTCAGGAGTTCTGTTCTGAGGGTGTTTGTTACTGATGAGAAGGCAGCAGTGGGCCAGGAGGTATTCGGGAGAGGGGTACTCTGGAGCACGGGTGGAGCTGCAGTGGCAGCAGCAGGCCACGTGCCCTGGTCCCTGAGAGCCCAGAGGAGGGGGATGACTGCAGTGTTTTCACTCCAAGCAGAGTTGCCAGTCTCAGCCAAGGCTCCCAGTAAACCCACCCTCACCCCTCATTTCACAGTCACTTACCCAGCAGTTTTGTCTCCTCACCACACAATAAAGCAAGGTTTAATCAAACAAGGTTTCTGGATATTCCCAAATTTTGAGACTCAATGTAGTAATTGTCCTAGAGTCTCAGCCCTCACTTTCATTATTGTATCTTCTTTAAAGCAACAAATGAGGGGTGGGGAGTTAGAGGCAAATTGACAGCTGATATTTTTAAGTTTACAAAACGCAGTCTGAAGCCCCGTGTTGTTCAGAAGCCTTGCTCGTCCGAGTCCCCAGTGCTCGCGGTGAAGGAGTCCTGAGAGGCAGTGGTTGGAACTGGTGGTCAGGGCCAGAAGTGATCAGCAGAGATAGCCAGGTTGTTCCAGAACATAGCAAAGTGTCATAACAAGCTTCACCTTCAGTCAACACATAGTTTAAAAGGTGTAATTGCTTGTATCAAGGGAAAATGGTTCTTAGAATAAAAAATGTTCACGTCTTGGGAAGCTGCTTATTGAGAAGTAATTCATTGTCCGATGATGCTAAATAAAGAAGACATCATGCTTTTTGCCATATTCTGTGCCTAAGTAAACATTTTATGTGGATTATGAACAAAGAATAATAGATAAGCTTTGACATTTTACTTAGAAAGGACATTTTCTTTTGTTCTAACTCTCAAGGGAGAGCTTGAGGATGTCCAGGAGATGCCCGCCCCAGAATCAGCCTCGGAGAGTGTTTCGGCTGCAAATTTGAGTGTTACTGTGCAAGACGATGACAGAAGTGACAGGAGCAGTTCACCATCGTCCTCCACGAGTGAGCTCATGCCACAGGGCGATGTGCATTTCAAAGAAGATGTGGGTGAAAACACAGCTTTACTAGGTAAGTAGCTTGCAGACTATACAACAAACTGTTGTTGTTAGTCATTGAAAGAGAATGAAGAGATACGTAAAATGCAGGGAAAAAAAGGAAAAATGAATGCCATCATCTCATACCTGGAAATATTTTAACATTTTGATAACTACCTCTTTGACATATTTTTCTGTGTTTAACTATGGGGAGAATGTCATTTATGTGCTGTTAGGTAACCTGTTTTTTCTTAGTGTATGAAGCTGTTTCTTTATCAGTAGATACATAATTTTGTATAGCTTCATAGTGTTACATTTTGGATTTACTATATTAATTTCTTTAGTCCACATCCTGTTGATGGACTTTGTCAGTAACGCCTTCATATCATTATGTGTATATGTTTACCACTTATCTAATTGTTTTCTGTCATTCTGATAGGTAAAATAGAGTGAATTGCATTTTTAAAAAACATTTTTTATTGATTTTGAGAGAGAGAAACATGGATATGAGAGCAAAACATCAATTGGCTGCCTCCTGCACACCCGCAACCCATGCAAGTGATGTGACCCGGAATCAAATGGGCAACCTTTCAGTGCACATGACAATACAGTGCCCAGCCAACTGAGTCACACTAGCCAAGGCTGAATTGCAATTGTTTATTATTGATGAGGTTACCTTTTCATATTTGTTGGTCATTTGTTTCTTTTATGAGTTGTCCATTTCATTCATAGCCTAATTTTCTATAGAGAAACTAATTTTTCATACTGATTCTAAGAGCACTTTGGTCTTTGTCATGTGTATTTTCTACCCCCCAATTTCTGTATCCTTTGACTTTCTGATGTATTTTGCTTAGTTAGAAATTTTAAAATGTTATCTAATATTTATGGTTTGTATTTTACATTTAAATCTTTAATCCAGCCCTGGCCAGTTTTGCTCAATGGTTAGAGCATCAACCTGAGGACCAAAGAGTCGCAGGTTCGATTCCAGTCAAGGGCATGTTACCTCGGTTGCGGTTCGTCCCCGGCCCCGGTCGGGGTCATGCAGAAGGCAACCAGTAGATGTGTCTCTCTCACATCGATGTTTCTCTCTCTCTTCCTCCCACTCTATCTGAAGATAAATGGAAAAATATCCTCGGATGAGGATTAAAAAAAATAAATCTTTAATCCACATAGTTTAAGGAGAGATCAAGCTAACCTATTTTTCCCAAATGTTTAACCAATTATCCTAATATTATTTAGTGAATAACAATTACTTATGAACACTATGTTTTGATATTTGCAAGGCAATGCAAATTCCTTAATCTTTATTCTTTTAAAAAAATTTTGGCCTTTTCTGCATTTTTTAAGGTTAATTTTGACTCTGGTAACTATTCTCTTCATATTGGTGGCCCTGATGAAGGGACCGTCGGCCTGGCAACGATCTTGTTGAGGTTGTACCATCTGCCTGAGCTTGATCTTCCTGCTGTGCGTTTGTTTCCTGAATTGGACCTAAGTTACTGTATTTCTTTTCCTCATTTTTATTGCACAGTTTCTTTACCTTTTAAGTATAAATATGTACATAAAATGTGAATACAAGGAATTCACTAAATGCCACTGTTAACAATTACTGTGTAAATTACAATTGTAAGCAGAGTAATTATTTGAAGTGAGTCTTCATTACTTTGCAGATATCTGGTTTATTTAACCACATTTGGAGAAGAAAAAAGAATAATTTTTTTTCTTGCCAAATTTTTCTTCCGAGTGATGTGCCAGGCCTCCGGCTCCTGGAGACGGCCAGCGCCGCCGGCTGAAGTGCTGGCCGCACCCCCGAGCCCGGGGCAGGCAGCAGGGCTGTGCACACCCTGCAGGGTGGCTGTTCTTGCACTTAGAGTGTATTTTCAATTACAAGTTATTAAAAAAATAACTTTTCCTATAGACCTCAAGATAATGTGAAATTTAATATGGTGTTTCATTTGTTTGTCTAAGATATATGTATATTTCTCACTTCATCATCCTGTTAGCCCAGGTCTACATTGTGCTACTAGAAGATAACAGTAACTAGCATAGTTTTCTAAAGTCATAGAACATAGTCATAGTTTTTGCTGGTTTCTTTTGCATTGATGACCTTTATATGATGTCACTGGTTTGAGTATATTTGACTTTACAAAAGTTAGGTAGCATTTGCAAAAGGGCATTGAGCCCTGGCCGGTTTGGCTCAGTGGTTAGAGCGTCGGCCTGCGGTCCGGAGAGACCCGGGTTCGGTTCCCGCTAAGGGCACATACTTCGGTTGCAGTTTGTCCCCGGCCCTGGTTGGTCGTGCGGGTGGCAGCCACTCGATGTGTCCCTTCACGTCGATGTTTCTCTCTCTCTCTCCCTTCCTCTCTCTCCCTCCCACTCTATCTGTACAAAAAATGGAAAAATATCCTCGGGTGAGGATAAAAAAAAAAAAAAAAGGGCATTGAGATTTTTAAATCCTCTGACTTCAAGATAACAATTTTCATGGTTGCTTAGGAACTCACAATATTTTTATCTAGAAAAGTAAACTTTTTAGAGTCTATACTGTTGGAGGGTATAGTTCTAAGCATATAATCATGGAATAATTTATCTCGATAAAGTCATATGGTTTATTTTGATTAATTTCCTATTTTTGTTTGGGGAAGATAAAATTATTCTGTATTCCTTGAGCACATTCAAACACAGCAGAGACTGGTGTAAAACAGGCAAAAAACACGTAAGTTAGCATGGAGAATCAGATTTTAATTTGCCATGAATAGTTGGCATAGTTTCAGAAAACAAAGTTACCTCTGGGGGGATTGATTTTTTTTATTGAATTTATATTATTTTGATGTCAAAGCAGTGTAAAATATGAACCTCAAATGTATTAAAACTTCATTAATTAGAATTTCACTGCTTCACAACATTTAAAAACAAAAATTAGCTTGGCTGGCGAGGCTCAGTGGATTGAGTATCCTCCCAAGGACTGAGAGTTGCTGGTTCTATTCCCGGTCAGGGCACATGCCTGTGTCGCGGGCTCAATCCCTAACAGGGGCGTGCAGGAGGCAGCTGATGGATGTTTCCCTCTCTCTCTCTCAAAAAAAAATCAATAGAAACATATTTAAAGTTTTAAAAAAAACTTAGGGAAACTAGCTACTCCAGAGAGGTGAAAGCCTTGCCCTTTAGGAATAGTGTTTGCTCACTAACAGTGTGTTGAGATAGAAGTGAATTTCTTGGTAACTGAATGACTGCAGGAACATTGGTATGGTTATATGCCAAGCACTGCCTCTTAATATTATGATAGGCTAAATAAAGTTACAAGACTAGGGAAGTTAGCAAAATTGCATTTCTTTCTAAACATTCTCCTATTCATATTGGTCTTTCCTTGGTTCCAATTAATGAAGTTTTACTACATGCTATTTCATTCTGTGGGTTGGGTTTATTTTCTAATAAACATCAGGAAGAAAATTTGACATTTTTAAAAATAAGTTTTTATTGATTCTTAAAGAGAGAGAGAGAGACATCAGTGTGAGAAACATCAATCAGCTGCCTCCTGTATGCCCCCCACTCGGGATCCAGCCTGCAACCCAGGTACGTGCCCTGACCAGTAATCCAGCCAGAACCTCTCAGTCCATGGGACCATGCTCAGTCCACTGAGCCACACCAGCCGGGAAGAAAATTTGACTTTTAATATTGTATTGCAAAAGTATTTCATTTGTTGGAACATTTAAGTAAACAGTACGTTTATGATTTTACTTAAATACAGTGACTTTTTGTACTATTGCAGTTTATTTGGAAAATCACTCTTAAAATAAAAATGTAAATGTTAAACATATACTCGTATATACAATTGACGACAGTGGTATATAATATACACACACGCACATTCTCATTTTTATATTCAGGCATATTATATACAGTGGTATTATAAAAGCAGAAAGTAAAACTTTACATTTTTCTGGTTTAGGCAGTACAGATCATCAGTAATATTGCAAGTAGATGATGTATTTTGATTATCAAATCAATCCCAAGACTTTAATTTTAGTATCTGTATTCCTTTTTTTTTCTTCCAGATGATTTTGAGAGTATGTTTATTAGCCTGGGACAGTGGGACATAGAAGGGCGTAGGATAGAAGCAGCAGGAGAAAGTAGGTGGGGCAGCTCTGGCTCCAGAAACGTTCAGGGGAGCAGTGAGCCAGGGTGGCGGGGCTACTGTCAGCCTACTGGGAAGTCGGAGAAAACGGGGCCTTGCAGACAGGTTCAGGGGGTGAGCCCAGGGTGAGCTGTCACTGCCCATTGCTCCCCTGGTTGCAAGTCTCATGGGGTCCCTTAGACTTGAGGAGATGGGTGCCTGTGGGGGCAAGGAGGAGAAGGAAAAGGCACGTGTGCTCCGTGGAGGGAGAGGGCCGGCATTTATATTCTTAAGACACTTTGAAAGGGAGTATGTACTTGATTAAAACCTTTGTAAACTGTAAAAGGCTCTGCTGCATGCCTGTGTTTAGACTTTAACTTGAGAAGATAAATTGGAAAGTGTTTGAATGATAGTGTTTGTTCTAGTCTTAAATTAATATCAGTGATTTTTAAATAAATTGTATTGCAATGAAAAAAATTTGGGGCCTGCCCTTCCTTTTTAAAGATTAATCTTAAAATCATTTTGCCAAGTAAAAGAAAGTCCCATCAGAATTTTTATTGTAATTGAATTATTGTACAAATCATTGATGCTTCTGATTTTAAAATTTGCCATCCTAGAAGAGGAAGTCTATTTTTCCAAATCTGTAATATTCAAACTGAATCAGTTTTTCATTTTTTTACATGTTTAAGATCTTTGAGGCAGATAGAAATATTGGGGCTCCAGTTCTGAATGGTAGCAGAGGGAGAGAGGCTGCACTATGGAAGAAAAGGAAGGCTGTGTTTCCCAGACTTAGGACGGTGGGAAGTTGATCTGTTGTAGGCATTCTTCTGACCAGCTCCCTGGCCTCCTGCTGGGACTAAACCACCTTACAGGGCAGTGCCTTCCTTCATACACAGCTCTGATTTTTAGGAATCCCACTGTATTGAGTCTGAGTGCCTACCACTGTGTGTATGTCATTGCCAGCAGTCCAGGAGGAAAGGAAATCTGCTTCCCTAGTACACAGCCACCCTTGAGATACTTAAAGACAGATAACACTTTTATCCTGACTAACCATCCTTCAAAAGCAGTCTGTAGGTTTTTCTTCATTCTTGTTACCTGTAGTGCATTAGTTTGTCAGCATCTTTCCTCAAATGCCCTCTTAAAACTAAGATACTATGATTTCAAATAATAGACAAAATAAAGATGTGTAAAAAGAAGCTAGGTTACAAAATAACAATGGTAGACCACTCCTTCCTTTGTCCAGTTGACTTTGCACTTAGCTCTAATGTAGATGAGTTCAAAGTAGTTGATTCACTTGTAGTTAGGAAAGTATTCTATTATTGTAAGAAACCGTTTGTGCTAAAATTATTTTGTGCTTCTTTTCCTAGTAATATCAGACTGTCGGGATTTTAATAGAAGATTCTCTTCTAAGATACTTTCACCTCTCTGTGCTTCAGTTTCATCATCTGTAAAATGGGGATAATAATATATAGTGTCTACCTCATTAGGTCAATATAAATACAAGCTGTTGGTTATAGGAGGTGACTCCATCATCATCGTCACCAAAGCTACTTGTTTTACTTTTGAAAACATACTCTAACACCAACTCAGGCTGTATCATTTTTTATAACACAATGCCAATCATATTAATGTTGGTCAGGTTAATATTGGAAAACCCCTCACACTGCATGTGAGGAGATGTTTATATACTTTTCTTGACTATCTAGAATGGGTTGCCATTTTTACAGATACGTTTTATTTTAAATTTTCTGTAATTTGTTGCTTGAATTACAGTTTCTAAATGAGTAAGAATGTGTATTTAATTGAAGTTCAGAATATGCCAATGGACTAATGTTGGCTTCCGTTGCTTTGTTACAGAGATGGGCAGGCGTGACCTTCAGTGCGGAGGACCTGTTTCCTAGCACGTTTGCCACTGACAGCGGCATGGACAGAACTTTGAATTAAAGGACATTTTATTTTTTTTACTTTAGCACATAGTTTGTATATTTGAAAATAATGTACATTCTTTTACCTTTCGTGTTTTGATTTGATATACAAAGGGCTAAGATATTTTATTCTTCAAGAGACTTTTTTCATTAGTGTTCATATATTTACTAAAGTGTATCATTTACAATAAATAACATGTTACAGTCTGTACAGAGGAGGTGACTAGGAAGGCATGATAATGTCGAGGATGGGCAGTATTTCTAAGCACTAGGCTGGCTACTGTGGTACTCATAAACAGATTACTTCTATCTCAAGGGTGGTTTTAGACTAAGCACACTGAATTTAGACTACTTGAAGTGGATTGTGTTATTAAATCCCATAAACTGACCACACCGATTTTCCCTGAAAGACTTTTTTAGAATATTAAACTTATAAGTGAGATGAGAGAAATCGACAGCTTTCTTGTGCGTTGGTATTATTTAGAGATTTCAAAACCTGAGAACACTCTTTCATTATTGTATTACCTAATTTCTTGTGACATTTTGATGGGAAGTTTGTTCATTTTTTTCAACAAATAAAAATGCAAAGAATCTGTTTTACATGAACATTAAGTTATCCGTTGCCTTGTTAGGAAGACGAATAGACAGAGACTGATTTTTCTTTGTAAATAATGACTACAATATTGATTACAATTTCATATTTACAATTGTAAGGGTGAAAGGTGGAGAATTTTTTATTGTAACAAATAAACAGGTAACCAGTTTTCTTAATTAATTTTATTTATTTATTTTTTTTATTTTTTTTCCATTTTTTTTTTTGTTTAGGTAGAGTGGGAGGGAGAGAGAGGAAGAGAGAGAGAGAGAGAGAGAGAGAGAGAGAGAAACATCGATGTGAAAGGGACACATCGAGTGGCTGCCACCCGCACGACCAACCAGGTCCGGGGACAAACTGCAACCGAGGTACATGCCCTTAGTGGGAACCGAACCCGGGTCTCTCGGGACCGCAGGCCGATGCTCTAACCACTGAGCCAAACCAGCCAGGGCTTCTTAATTAATTTTAAAGCAAACTTAATGACCATGGCCTTTTTAAATCATCTGTTCCTTTTACTTCTGTTAGCTGTTCTCACTTGCAGGTGAAAGGAGCAGGCTGGTGTAAAGCATCTGGAGACTAAGTTTATAAAGTGACTAAATAAACACACCTGTCTTCTGTCACTTGTTGGAGGTGGAAGTTGAGGAGGAGAGAGAGTTCGTGTTTTAGGACTTGAAAGTATAGTCATTTGTTGCTTTATTTCTAGTTACTATATATATTTTTTGTGGGTAAAAGTAAATGTTTAGTGAGAATATATTTACAAAATTTACAGAACTTATTCTTATGGCTGTATCTAAGTTTTAGATAGCTTTTTTTTTTTTCAGTTATCGCCGCTCACAGTGAGTTGAAGTACTTGGTGAGTAAACAGTTTTACTAAAGTAAAACTCTGTGGCCAGATTCAGTTTTGAGGAACTACTAAAATAGAAAATTTGTCTTACTTTGAGCTCTCATTTAAACAGACAGCCTCAAAATAGGTTTCTATAACAGTCATCTTAAAAATCTGCCTTCTCTGGTTCATTGTGAATAGGAAAGTATGTCCTCAATTCTATACCAAGGAGATGGTTTGCTTCTTTGTATTTTAAGAAACATATTAGAGCCCTGGCCAGTGTGGCTTAATTTGTTGGGCATCGTCCCTGCACCAAAGGGTTGTCGCTTCGAAGCATGTGCCCAAGTGGCTTGCTCCCCAGTTGGGGGGGGGGGGGCGGTATGCAGGAGATGGCCAAGCAATGTTTCACTCTTGCATCAATGTTTCTCTCTCTCTCTCTCTCTCTCTCTCTCCCCCTCTCTAAAAATCAATTTAAAAATCTTATTTTTTTTTTTATCCTCACCCAAGGATATTTTTCCATTTTTTGTACAGATAGAGTGGGAGGGAGAGAGAGAGAGAAACATCGACGTGAAGGGACACATCGAGTGGCTGCCACCCGCACGACCAACCAGGGCCGGGGACAAACTGCAACCGAAGTACCTGCCCTTAGCGGGAACCGAACCCGGGTCTCTCCCGACCGCAGGCCAACGCTCTAACCGCTGAGCCAAACTGGCCAGGGCTTAAAAATCTTGTAAAAAGAAAGATACGTACTATGGAGAAATGCTTTAACAATTTTTCCCAGTAGCCAATAAAGCTGACTTTTAAAAGAATACTGTGATTTTATAATCAGGGGCTATCAGATAGAGCTTTATTTAATTGAAAGGTTTGAACACTAAATTATAAATGGAAGAGATTTTAAGAACTGTAATTTAATCTTTAGAAACAAATCTTTAATAGCCGAAAAAAAGTAGAAGATAAACTCTTTAGAACTTCTTTGGTAGGTATTTTGTAAGATGGAAATATATGTGAAAAGAGTCAAATACTACCAGAATTTTGGCTGGAACATAAAGTTGATAAAGTGCTGGGAATAGCCCTGGCCAGGTACCTCGGTTGGGTTGGAGCATCATACAGTACACCAAAAGGTTGCGGGTTCAATTCCCAGTCGGCACATACCTGGGATGTGAGTTCAATCCCAGGTTGGGGTGTGTAGTCGGGGGGGAATAGATGTTTTTCACATTAATGTTTCTCTTTCTGAAAATCAATAAAAACATCCTCCAGTGAGGATAAGCAAAAAAATGCTGGGAGTATGGGGAATGTAAATGAAGAAAGGGTATGCAAATCAGATTGTTAAGGTTATTTAAGGCAGAATAATCATTTCCCTTCTAGCAATTGTGAAAAAAAAAGCCATTTGTTCACAAATAACATAGAAAGTTTTAACTTTGGGAGTTCACAGGCAGCCGGTAGAAGAGGTCGTGTGTCCTTGAACATGAAGTGCTCTGTACTAGTCCCTGCCTGTCCCTGTGCTGCTGTTGGGGTCCCTCAGAAAACCAGGACGGTCCGGAGAGGTGTGGGAGCAGCACCCCGTATCAGGTAATGCCGTACATGCTGTTATTTTAGGTGCCTTGAATGTACAAACCTTTCCGGAAAGCTTGCCATGGTCACTGAGGAATGATGACAATAAAAGGCCGAATTGCAGCGTGTCCACCAGCAGTTTGCTCTCTGTGGGTGCACGATGACAAAACTTCCCGAAGCGAACCATTGGTCTGACCTCGTGGCAGAGTCGCAGCTCCATGCCTTGGGCGAGCTTTCCAAGAAAGGCCCAGAGCTCAGATTTTTTAAAGAAAAACCAATTGGTGAATTTTGGACAATACTAGGCCTTAAATGAGATCTAAAAGCCTCTCTGTGTAGTTTATGATATACTTGATGAATCAATGACAGCTAGAATTATAATGATGATAGAGCTTCAGAACAGGTGTGTCCCCATCTGGATGAAGGACCCAGTGTAACTAAATCCCCAGTTAAAAATAGCTTAGTTTGGCAACAGTTTTGAGCACATTCAAGTTTATTTGCTCCTGACAGCTGAGAATAAATCAGTATGTATCTCATTAACTAGAACTTGAGGTAATTACATGTATTGGTTAAAAGCAGTTTCTTTAGGTTCAGTGTAACCCTATGTTGTGATTTACAAAGCACAGGACGATGGCCTGAACGAAAGGTGGTCTTGTGTAAAAGTATGTCGTGCTTCTGTGACTCAACCACTTAGAAAAGCCACCTCTACCTTTCCTACTTAGTTTCTGAAGTTTTAAAAACACTTATAAGCATTTCATTTTTTTGAATACTGATGTGTATTAGTTATAAAAGTGAAGTTTCTGAGGTCCAAGTACAGTTAGGAATTGACTTACTCTGACAACAAAGTATTAAGTTGTAAATTGAGAAAAGTATTTGTGTTAATTTAGAATTAATGTAAGACTAAATTCAATGCGTTCTTTTAGGTAGATGAGTTGTACGCTTGTACATTATGGGCAAATGAAAGCCCTGGGAATGCTGTCAGTTCTGTGGGCCAACTGCAGTGATCAAACACCGGGATTATGGAACTACTTCGGAAGCATCTTGGGTTATTCCTGAGAATGGTAGTGACTGCAAGCACAGAGTAAAATCAGCAGCCTGTCTTAGGTAGAAGGGTGTAAGAATGAGATCTTAAAGGGATATCACTCAAAATGCTATTTAAAATAAAGGATGGGTCAAAAGTAGGCTTACTGTTTATACGGAAATATTCTAATTAATAAATGATGAAAGAAATTGTTTCACATACAACGGTAAACCTATTTTTAATTGGTTTATTTTTTTTACATATGTATCCCCTTTGTCCCCGCTAGACACCATCTTCCCAATTCCCCTACTCCTAAATACACACACACACACAGCATTGTTGTCTGTGTCCATTGGTTATACATATATGCATATAAGGTCTTTGGTTTATCTCATCTTCCCCCTGCCCCCCCCACCTCCCTCCTCTAAGGTTTGTCAGTCTGAACCATATTCCTTTCTATGTCTCTGGGTCTATTTTGTTCATTATACTGCAAAAATAAGTGAGATCATGTCATATTTGTGTTTCTGTGATTGGCTTTTATGCTTAGCATAATACTCTCCAGGTCTCCATTTCGTCTCAAAGAATAAGAGATCTTTTTTTCTTTTTTTTTTTTTACAGCCGCATAGTATTCCATTGTGTGTGTGTGTACCACAGCTTTTTTTATCTATCTACTGATGGACACTTGGGCTGTTTCCACATCTTAGCTATTGTAAATAGTGCTGCTATGAACATGGGGGTACATATATTCTTTCTGATTGGTGTTTCAGGCTTCTTAGGGTATATTCCTAGAAGTGGAATCACTAGGTCAAATGGAAGTTCAATTTTTAGTTTTTTGAGGTAACACCATATTGTTTTCCATAGTGGTTGCACCAGTCTGCATTCCCACCAGCAGTGTACTAGAGTCCCCTTTCCTCCACACCATCGCCAACACTTGTAGCTTGATTTGTTGATGGCGGCCATTCTGGCAGGTGTGAGATGATACCTCATTGTTGTTTTAATTTGCATCTCTCTGATGATTAGTGACATTGAGCATGTTTTCATAATGTCTCTTGGCCATTTGTATGTCCTATTTGGAGAGGTGTCTCTTTAGGTCCTCTGCCCATTTTTAAATGGATTTTTGTCTTCCTTTTGTTGAGTTGTATGAATACTCCCTCTGTTTTAGAAATTAACCCCTTATGCCCTGGCTGGTTTGGCTCAGTGGTTGGAGCATTGGCCTGCGGACCAGAGAGTCCCAGATTCGGTTCACGCTAGGGGCACGTACCAAAAAAAAAAAGAAAAATTAACCTCTTATCTGATATATCGTTGGCAGTTGGAGAGTTCCCTTTCCATTTTGATCCTTGTTTCTCATGCTGTAAATAGCTTTTTAGTTTGATGTAGTCCCATGTGTTCATTTTTTCCCTTTATTTCTCTTGCCCTAAGGCAAGTATAAGTGTTAACCTAAGTGTTGTATCAGTGAAAATTCTGCTGCATCTGATGTCTGAAATTGTGTAGCCTGCATTTTCTTCTAGAATTTTTATAGATTTACAAGTCATGTTTAAGTCTTTTATCCATTTTGAGTTTATTGTTGTGTTTGGTGTAGGTTGGTGGTCTGGTTTCATTTTACTGTATCTGTCTAATTTTCCCAACACCATTTTTTAAAGAAGGTGTCTTTACCTTATTGTATGCTCTTGCCACCTTTGTCCAATATTAATTGAGCATAATGTCTTGGGTCAATTTCCTTGTTCTCTGTTCTATTCCATTGATCTATATGCCTGTTCTTGTGCCAGTACCAGGCTGTTTTGATTACAGTGGCTTTGTAGTATAACCCGATATCCGGTATTGTGACCCCTCCTACTT